TGTCTAATTTAGTATTTGTCATTAAACGTTAGCAGTAAATTGTTAATAACCATATATATAGAAAATGTGTCTAATTTAGTATATGTCATTAAACGTTAGCAGTAAATTGTTAATAACCATATATAGAAAATGTATCTAATTTAGTATGTGTCATTAAACGTTAGCAGTAAATTGTTAATAACCATATATAGAAAATGTGTCTAATTTAGTATGTGTCATTAAACGTTAGCAGTAAATTGTTAATAACCTTCATATATAAAAAATATGACTAATTTAATTCACAACAATAAGGTATAGCAATAACTTGTGAATCGTAATATATAGAAAAATATGACTAACTTAGTTCCCGTCATATCTTACTGACTAAGTTTAATGACGTGAAATAAATTGGTTTCATTTTTCACAAATTATTGCTGTAGTTTAAAGAGATGAGTTAAATTTGTTACATGTTCAAGGTAAGATGATTCTCAGTTTACTGCCACAGTTTAATGAAGTGAACTAAATTAGATACATTTTCTATATATAAACTGTATATGATGATTCGCAAGTAGCTTATACAGTTTAGTGACGTAAACTGTATATGATGATTCGCAAGTAGCTTATACAGTTTAGTGACGTAAACTGTATATGATGATTCGCAAGTAGCTTATACAGTTTAGTGACGTAAACTATATATGATGATTCGCAAGTAGCTTATACAGTTTACGTTACTAAACTGTATATGATGATTCGCAAGTAGCTTATACAGTTTAGTGACATAAACTGTATATGATGATTCGCAAGTAGCTTATATATTGTACGCATAAGACAGTGTGACAAATTTAGTCCACAGTGTGAAACTTTAGTAGTAGCTTCCGAATCATGCTATATAGAAAGTGTGACTAATTTCTTTTACATCATTAAACTGTAGCAGCAGCTTCTGAATCATTACTAGGAGTAACATGTGAATCGTCCTATGTAGAAAATATGATTAATTTAATTCAACTCATTAAACATGAGAAGTAATTTGTTACTGACTGTATATAGAAAATCTGACTAACTTAATTCACGTAAATATTAGAAGTAACTTGTGAATCATCATATATAGAGAATATCACTAATTTATTTCACTTCATTATACTGAACCACTAAATTGTGAATCATCATATGGCGAAAATGTGAATAACTAGGCTTACGTCATTAATCTGCAGCAGTAACTTTTGAATCATCGTATATGGAATATGTGGCTAATTTACTTTACGTTTTTAACTACGGCAGTAACTTGTGAATCATTATTTATCGAAAATTTGGCCAGTTTTTTCACATATTTTAAACTGAAGCAATAACCTTTGAAACATCATTTACAGAAAATATGTTTATGCTTGATCACTTAACTAAACTCTACCAGTGAACCTTCGTATATATAGAAAATATGACTAATTTCTTTCACGTCATTAACTTTTATCAGTAATATGTGATTCATCATATCTAGAAAATGTAACAAATTTAGTTGACGTTATCGATCTTTAGCTGTACCTGTTGAATCATCAAATACAGAAAAATGTGACTAATTTTGTTCAAGCCATTAAAGTTTACCAAAAGCTTGTGAATCATGTTAAATAGGAAATATGACTAATTTAGTTCACGTCATTAAACTTTAGCAATAACTTGTAAATTGTCATATAAAAAAAATGTGACTAACTTCTTTTACGTCATTAAACTTCATCAGTAATTTGTGAATCATCATAATGTATATAGAACATGTGATAAATTTCTTTTATGTAATCAAACTTTAGCACTAACTTCTGAATTATCATATACAGAAAATGATGCTAATTTTTTTCACGCCGTTAAATTTTATCAATAATATGTGAATCATCATATACAGAAAAATATAATTAATTTATTTCACGTCATTAACCTTGATCAGTATGATATGAATAATCAAATATGGGAAGTATGTCTAATTTAGTCCTCGTCTCTAAACGTTAGCAGTAAGTTGTTAATTCATCGCATATAGAAAATGTGACTATCTTCTCTTACGTCATTAAACTGCAACGGTAACTTGTGAATAATCATATATAGAGAACGTGTCTAACTTCTTTCACATTATTAAAGTTTATCGGCCTTTTGTGCATCATGATATATCAAAATGTAACTAGTTTAGTCGACATTACTGAAATTTAGCACTAACTTATGAATTATATATATGGAAAATGTGACTAATTTAGCTCACGTCATTAAATTTTACTTGAAATGTGTGAATCGCTTATAGAAAATATTCCTAACTTAGTTCACGTCACTAAACTTTAGCAATAAGTTTTAAATCATCATGAAGACAAAAGTTGAGTAATATGTTTCACGTATTTAAACTTAGCAGTAATATTTGATTCACTATATATGGAGGACTTGAGTAATTGTGTTCACATTATTGAACTTCTGCAGTAGCTTGTGAATCATCATATATAGAGAATGAGAATAATCTAGTTCACGTTAATAAACCTTACCAGTAACTTGTGAATCATCATATATAGAGAATGAGAATAATCTAGTTCACGTTAATAAACCTTACCAGTAACTTGTGAATCATCATATATAGAGAATGAGAATAATCTAGTTCACGTTAATAAACCTTACCAGTAGCTTGTGAATCATCATATATAGAGAATGAGAATAATCTAGTTCACGTTAATAAACCTTACCAGTAGCTTGTGAATCATCATATATAGAGAATGAGAATAATCTAGTTCACGTTAATAAACCTTACCAGTAACTTGTGAATCAGTAACGTAAACTGTATAAGCTACTTGCGAATCATCATATATAGTTTACGTCACTAAACTGTATAAGCATTAAGCCTCAGCAATAAGTTGTGAATTATCATATATGGAAAATGCGACAAGTTTCATTTTTATTAAACTGTAAATGTAGTTTGTGAATAATCATAAACATTCAAAATGCGAGTTAGTATATATTTTAAATGTTTTCCATTAATTTGTGAATTATCATACATAGAAAACGTGACAACTTTCTTTCACATGATTAAATTATAGCATTATATTATTAATTATCATATATATAGAATATCACTAATTTAGTTCACTTCATTAAACTGTACTAGTAAACTGTGAATCATCATATATAGAAAAAGTGAGTAACTAACCTCACTTCACTAAACATTAGCAGTAATTATTGAATCATCATAATGGAAAATGTGACTAATTTAGTTCAAGTGATTAAGTTTCAATAAAAAACTTTGAATAACTATATATATATATTGAAAATGCCACTAATTTTTTTCGTATCTTGAAAGAGCAGCAATAAGTTTTCAATCATCATTTATAGAAAATATAAATAATTTAGTTCACGTTGTATAACTTTAGCAGTAACTGTGAATCATTATATGTATAAAATGTAAATAATTCATTTCATGTGTGACGGATTTATTATTAAATATTTATTTTAATATCAACGTTTGATTAGATTAAGTTTATATTTAGAAATATGGATAGCTTATAATGTTAAATATGTATTGTGAAACTTCCGCCTATTCTCCAAAGTTCTAGAAGATTCTCGAGAGTATGAATCAACAATATATGTATGTACGTAAACGCTTGTGTTAGCGTCAGTATTATTACGTAAAAATGAATTTTCTAGAAACTCTCCACACGCCTATAAATGTAACCAACGCGACGCGCCAAAAAAAAGTATATATTATTAGTTTCAGATATTTGACCATTTCAGATATTTAGAACATTACAAATCATTTAACTTCAGTGGATTCTCATCGGACATTAGTATTTTAACGAAAACATTATATAACTCCATCGAAGAAAACTAGGCGTGTGTGGCTGGTGAATAACGAAGGACAAAGCTAGCTAGCTCCCTGTTAAGTGGATCGTACCTACATCATCGTAATTAACTCGCTCATCATGAACCCTCGATTAAATATCGAAGAAGTTCCAAACTAGTAGAAGACCTTATATTGCTTGCAAGTTTGTGAAACTTTGTTTATAAATCATTGTTTGTAATAACCATTTGTAATAACTATTATTGTAAATTGTATTGTTCTGTGTATATTAAAACGTATTTATGTTAAGAAAAAGAAAATTGTGTATCATTCTTGTTGGCAAATATCATAAACTGACTATATATCGAGTTTTACTTAACTACTATATCCAAATTACAGTTTAACTACTAAATTTAAAGTATCATTTCGCTCGGTTTCAGACCTTTCGAAATTGTAATACGTAACACATGTCATTAAACTGTAACAATAAGCTGTGAATCATCATATATAGAAAATGTGAATAATCTAGTTCATGTTATTAAACGTTAGGAGTCAGTATCTTGTGAAACATTCTATGTAGCAAATGTGACTATTTCATTTCACGCCCCTCCACCAGTGGCACAGCGGTACGTCGTCAGACTTACAAAGCTGAAAACTGGGTTTCGATACCAGTGGGGGGCAGAGCCCATTGTGTAGCTTTGTGCTTAACAAACAAACAAACAAACAAACATTTCTTTCACGACATTAAACTGCAGCAGCGATTTTTCAATCATCTGTTGTACAAAATACCACTAATTTCTTTCACGTCATTCAACTGTAGGAGTAACATGTGGATCATCACAGATAGAAAATATGACCAATCTAATTCACGTCATTAAACTTTAGTAGTAACTATTAAATTGTCATATATATAAAAAATGTGGTTTATTTAATTAACGGAATTAAACTTTAGCAGTAACTTGTGAATCATAATATAAATAGAATAACAGTAATTTAGTTAAATTCATTAAACTGTAAATCATCATATATAGAAAACTTGAATAATTAAGATCATGTCATTAAGATCTATCAGTAACTTTTGAATCATCAGAATGGTAAATATGAGTAATTCAACTCTTGCCATTGAACTATACCAGTAAACTGTGAATAATCATATATTGAAAATATTACTAAAGTCTTTCACGTCATGAAAATGTTGCAGTAACTTTTGAATCATCAGAATGGTAAATATGAGTAATTCAACTCTTGCCATTGAACTATACCAGTAAACTGTGAATAATCATATATTGAAAATATTACTAAAGTCTTTCACGTCATGAAAATGTTGCAGTAACTTTTGAATCATCGCATGTAGAAAATGTGATTAATTTCTTTCACATGATTAAACAGTAGTAAGAGCTTGTGAATAATCGCATATAAAATAAAACTTTTTTTCCCTTCGTTAAACTTTACCAGTAATATGTGAATTGTCATGTATTGAAAACATTACTAATTTTGTTCATGTTATTAAACTTTAGCACTAGCTTGTGAATAATCACATATAGAAGAGTTGCCTACTTTACGTTAAGTCATTAAACTTTAGCAGAAATTTGTTAATCATCATATATAGATAATGTCACTAACATAGTTCAAGTCATTAAAGTTTAGCAGTAAACTTCGAATAACCATATATTGAAAATGTTACTAATATATTTGTCATCATGAAAGGGTACCAATAAGTTTTGTATAATAATATATAGAAAATGATAATAATTTATTTCACGTTGCAAAACGGAAAAAGTTAATTATAAATCATCATATATAGACAGATCAACAAATTTAGTTCATATTGTTAAACTTGACTAGTAAGTAACTTGTGATTCATCGGATGTAGAAAATTTCATTCTGTGATCAAACAGTAATAGTAGCTTCTGAATTATTATATGTATAAAATTTTGCTAATTAGCTCATGTCATCAAACTTTAGCAGTAATATGTGAATCGTAATATATGGAAAATGGCACTGCTTTAGCTTACTTTATTACACTTTAACATCATCATATATAAAAAAAATTGACTACTTTAGATTACGTCATTGTACTTTAGCAGAAAATTGTTTATCTTCACGTACTGAAAATATAACTTATTTAGATCATGTCATTATACCTTAGCAATACGTTATGAATCATCATAAATATAGCAAATGTGAATATTCACATTTTGAAACTTTACAGTAATATGTAAATTAACGTCTACAGAAAATATGACTAATTTAGTTCACGTCGTTAAACTTCACCGGTAATATAAGAACCGTCGTATATATAATACACGAACAATTTCGTTTTCGTCACTAAACTTTAACAGTAACATATGAATAACGATATATTGAAAATGTGACTGATTTATTACACGTCACTGAACTTTAGCAGTATCTTTTAAATCAGTATATAGAAATGACTATCACGTTATTAAACCTTACCAGTAACTTGTGAATCATCATATACAGAAAATTTGAGTAATTTCTTTTACGTCAATAAACTGTATATGATGATTCGCAAGTAAACGTGAACTAAGTTAGTTACATTTTTATATATGAATGTTAACAACTTACTGCTAAAGTTTAATGTCATAATATAATATAGTAAAGTTTTATATATATGATAATTCACAATCTAGTACTAAAGTTTAATAACGTGAAAAAAGATTAATCACATTTTCGATATACGATCATTCACAAGCTGCTATTAAAATTTTGATGACGTGAACTGAATTGGTCACATTCTCTCTCTATATATATGATGGTTCACATCCTATTGCTAAGTTTTAATAGCGTGAACTAAGTTAGTCACATTTACTATATATGATGATTCACAAGCTTCAGCTAAGTTTAATGACATGAAATAAATTATTCACATTTTCAATATATGATGATTCACAACTGACTAGTTCAGTTTAATGAAGTCAACTAAATTAATGATATTCTCTACATATAATCATTCATAAGTTGATGCTAAAGTGTAATAACGTTGGTCTAATCACTGAAACTTAACATTATCACTGTACTAATAGACCCAACTACTCGCGGTCTAATAACCGAAACTTGACATTATCACTGTACTAATAGACCCAACTACTCGCGGTCTAATCGCTATCATTATCAGCCCAAAATAAACCACGTGACTCAAACCTGTGCATTAATTATCTATAATCCAAAATAAACCACGGAACTGAATCTTTGTTTCAATCACCTTCGGCTCAAACGTGCATCAATTATAATCCAAAATACACCACGACACTAAGTTTTTACATCAGTCTTTTACATCCGAAATAAACCATGTGATTTATATTCATTTTTTCTTTATCTCCAACTTACATTATGTATAAACTTTACAGTGATCTTCAAATGACAAAGTGAATCTGGGAAATAGTTTACAAACTTAACAAATTATTTATCACTGTGTTTTTATAACCATGGTTATTGAAAAACATATTAATAAATTCAATATTTAGTGTGAGTAATGATCTGGTTCTCGATCTACTGTACCTCTAAAGACATGCAACTATCTGACAGAAAGTATATCGATCAGCTTGTGAAATTCAACGAATGGAAACCTTAAATATAAGCAGTCTCTATAGGTTTATAGTGATAAGCGTTAATACATTTTTTAGATAAAATCTGTTTATCTCAAACACATATTGGTTGGATATGTATTAAAATTTGTAAAAGAAAGAAGATTCAGACTCCGGAAAAAAGATGTATTTCTTTCAACTTTTAATCTGATTTAATGATCCAAATTTTTAACGTTTAGCTTGTATATCATGATTTAGTGTGGAATTAAAGATATCAACATTCGCGGGTGAATGCAACATGTCTCCGCCACGCAATCCCTACATGGCCAATTCTCACACCAGAATAATCGTGAAAAACACATAAAAATTGAAAACTGTCTATATCACTGCTTTTTTTGTATTTTTTTAACAAATCCCATGTAGGTTGGTTTACATACACATGTATACTGTATAGTTCACGAAAACCCCAAACTGTGCATTTCTCGCTGAAAAATTGAGCAAAAGACAAAAATTCCAAAATTATTTATACCTCTGTTTTGGACCGGTAAAAAAATATCTTTGTACCAAATCCAATTTAAATTGGCTGAAATTTGGCGAAATAATTGTAAAAAATCCCTAAAATTATGCTTTGTGTGACATCTTGACCCCTTTATGGTTACTAGAAATGGGCATGTGTACCATTTTTCTTTTTAATGTGCAAGACTTGTAGAAAGGTACCTTTGTACCAATCCCGTGTAAATTGGTCACAAAATGGCCGAGTAATCGATGAAAAATCCCAAAATTGTGCTTTTTTTTTATCTTTTTTTCCTCCTAAAAATGCTCAAAATGGGCAAATCGAACTTTTTTATGCCAGTGTATTGGATGCATGAACATTTATGCTTGTGTCAACTTGTATCTTAATTGCTGTAACTATGACCGCACAGGAGCCAAAAATATACATTTTGGGGTTATTTTATCTTTGACCCCATAAAATTCTTTAAAAGATTTAAGTCAAAAGGATGTAAAAGGTATCTGGACGTATTGAACTAAGGTATAAACCTATCAAGTTTCACGTCAATCCGCCGAGAAATGAAGGAATGGCGGTCGAATGAAAAGCGTTTCGAAGAAGAAGAATCAATAGAATAACAGTATATCTCTCAGCAGAGATATAATAAGACGTAAACGTATAGTACACGAAACATACTTATAAAGACGCAGTACTATTTTCCCGATTGACGTTATCGAGAAGCATCATATATAGAATATGCGATTAATTTAGTTTACTTTATTACATTTCAGCATTAACAGGTGAATCATCATATATATTCAAAATATAATTTGTTAATTCCACATTATTAAGCTTTAGCAGAAATAAGTGAATCATCATATATATTCAAAACATAATTTGTTTATTTCACATTATCAAGCTTTAGCAGAAATAAGTGAATCATCATATAGAGAAAATGTGGACAGCTTAGTTTACGTTATTAAACTTTAACAGTAGCTTGAGAAACATCATATATTGAAAATGTGACTAATTACTTTCACGTCATTAAAATGAAGTAGCACCTTCTGAATCATCAGATGTACGAAATTTCACTAATTTCTTTAAATTAATGTCGTTCAGCGGTAGTAGCAACCTGTGAATCATCATGTATTGTTCACATAATTAAGTTTAGTAATAATTTTCTAAACATCATATATAGAAAATGTGACTAAATTAGTTCTTAACACTATCACTGTACTAATAGACCTACCTACTCGCTTTCGGTGATTAGACCGCGAGTAGTTGGGTCTATTAGTACAGTGATAATGTTAAGTTTCGGTTATTAGACC